CCTACACACATTCAGGGATAGAAATGTCAGCATCCAAGCTGGCGTGCGCAGAGAACATAGAAGAAAGCAGCACTTTGGAGGCTGAGCACCATGGAAAGGGCAGCAGTACGTGATCATCAGCCAGAGATTTCTGAGCTGCATAGACCCTGAAAGAGGCCTAGGCTTGGGGGCAGGACAGGAGAAGACTTGAAGGCAGGGAAGAAGTTGAGGCTTCAACACCCATCGCACCTGTAGCACAGTCTGACAGTTTCTCTCGAGGTTGTTTTGAGAGTTCAGATGGCAAATGGGCATCTTCAAACTGATAAGCTGAGTGGAAATTTATTGGAGAGCATTCCCCTAAAATGCAGTGCATGAAGCTTTCGTCTAATGTAGACTTTTAATTGTCTGCTACTATAAACTGTGATGTTAAACACAGTTTGTGCATAAAACTTACTTCATCATGAATATTATTAATGCAGAATGAATGACTATAGAATTATTTGCTAGAGAATGTGCTTTCATAGTTAGATTTTACTGTTGCTCCATGCTGGAATGAAGAATCTGCCTTTTTTTCCCAGCATGTGTTTTTTTATGAACAGTCAGAGATGACTCATGTTAAATAGGAGTGCACACAAAATAAATGTAGAAAAAAGGTTCTTTTATACAAAGTTATTTAAATTCCTTTCAGCTTTAGTGACACCTGCAGTGTACAGTGAAACCTTTCTAGGTAAAGGTTGTTATAAATGTGATTGTTACAAATTATGTCAATTTAGCCACCAATTAACAACTTGAATAAATGATTACATTCATTATCAGGCATGATGCAAAGCTAATTGAAGTCTGCGGGAGCTTTTCTGTTGAGTTCAGGAAGCTTTGGATCAGGCCCATAAGTGTTTCACCAGGTAACACTAATTTTTCTTTTTTTAGATAGGACACAAGAAAATTAGCTATCTAGATTGCGGAAAGATATTGAACCTTTCTGCTTCCAGCCTGTGTTGACTCCCTTAATAAGGAATGAACATGTGTTCTAAAACTCCTAATGAAAACGAGTTCTTGTCAAAACCCTTATTGTTCTTTCCTACCAGATATGGCCATGTGATATGCTGGAGCTTCAGGATCATTCTCAGCCCCTGGAAATGCCAAATAACATGTCTAAAATTGAAACATTTCTTTAGGTATCCCTATAATTAAAGAAGAGGAAGACAGACAAGTGTAATGGGTTTTTATAAGTTGTCAAAAAAAAACACTCCCTCTTGCCAAGATTCATTTATGAAAACGTTTTATGACTCAGAAATAAGCAGAAGGAAATAGTGATTTTTTTTTTCTATTGCTTTTTTCATAGACTACAGGCACCGTGTTGGCTAGATTTCAGTTGGATAATCATTTTCTTTACTGAAAAGCTCTCCTTTTATTTGCATAAGGTTATTCTGTATTTTCTGAGCTATCTTGTAACAGCATCACTTGCTGTTTGAAGGTATGTTTTAGTGCACCACCATGTGCGCCTGTGTGTAAATAAACTCTGATCCTCGAGTAGTCTAACAGCTGAGAACGGTGAAAAAGTAAATCACTAGTAATAAAAGCACAATTTCAAGTTAAAAAAAAGGTGAGAAAGTGAATAGGAATCTGCCTTTCAATGGCGAGAGCGTGTGAAATAAAATCAGAAGAATATTAATATTCTTAAGATTGAAAGTGAGAACAAAAGGATCTCCAAAGCAGGCTGGGTTTTGTATTGTGTGACAAGTACTTAAAGCGAGTCACTGGCAAGAAAATAAAACTATTCATATAGAATTTTTACTTATTTAGAACTGTGATAGTTTCTGGGTTTGGGTTTTTTCCTTCTTTTTTTTTTTTTGTTTGCTGATACATTTTGAGCCTAAAGCTTCTATTAATCCCAGGTGTCCTTGTGGCAGACCACGTGAGGCAGGACTCGTACATTTGTCTGGTCAGTGCCAGTCACACGTCACTGTAAGACTGGATGAGATCAAGGGGATGGGCAGACCAGAGGAGAAGTGCTGGAGTCTGCTCTGAGGGAGCCCTCAAGTATGTTCTAAGTCCTAAACCATGGTTGGGAGTTCCCCTGAAATGACCAGCTGAATCACCTGGAGCTTTGTTCTGGGTGCTCCTGTGAGGCAGTGAGCACAAAATAGGCCAAAACTGGTCTTTAATACCAAGTCAATGCACCTGCTAAACTGTGCTGTGGAGACTGGGATAGACTGTGTGTTAGACTGGGATATACGTGCAGTGTCTGAAAGTAGGTGAAAAAGGAAGCTCTGTAGGCAAAGCTTTCACCTAGTTTCTTTGATTTCTGTGAAGTTTAGTCAGTGGCAGCATAGTGGAACGACTGACATTTGGTAGTCGTTATAAAAATGTTGCCATGCTTTGAAAAAGTTGCAGTTAGGACAATAATGAAAAGCTAAACTTTTCTGTCTCTGCTTGTACTGGCTTTGTGTGGCATGGTTCCTTTGGCTGCAGCAGAATGACTCGTGATTTACAGCAGAGCTCAGGGGAAGAGAACAAGACATCTCGATGTAATGGCATGCTAAATAGCTCGGGTCTCTCCTGCTGCGCTGGAATCTGAGAATTAATATGCTTTAAAGGAAATTAAATGACCTCCTGGAATTATTCCTAAATTTAATTATTTTATGTTTGACTGTACCTGATTTGAGCTTTGAGGCAAAAGAACAAAAAAGAGATGCTACTGAGCACCACCTGGATGTTGTCATTAAGAAAGTATATGCGATACAGGAAAAAAAGTAGTCTATGTATTCAAGCATTCCAGCCTTGATCAAACATGAGTGTGTAGACTTTTCATGTCTGAGGTGACTCATGGTATTGTACTGGATAAGGTGGTGCTCATCCACCTGCTGAATTACGTGAATTATTGTACAGCAGAGCCAGGCAGGTCAGCAACAGCGCTGTGCAAGGAGGAAGCATGCTGGTGACTCCTGTGTTCTTGGGTCAGTTTGTCTGCGAGGGCTGGAGGACATGGAATCTTGGATTGGTTCCTACACTGCTCGTAAGGGTGAAATGTCCTTTTTTAGCGCTGAATTACGGAAGTGTTCTAGACAGAAAACCAAACAAGTAGGTGAGGGTTTGCCATTTTCAATCTTGTTAAAGCAAAATGTCCCATTACAAGAAAAAAGGAAATATAGAAGCAGCTTCACTCCTCTTACATACCCACTAGGTGGGCAAGGAGAGGGGAAACCCTGTATGCAAGTGTTGTGTATTTTTTTTTTCGAAAGTGCTTTCTAATAAATTCAGTGGTCAGAAAGCAGGGTGACAGGGACAGGACAGGTAATGTATGTCAAAGGAAAGCAGCCTGCCAGTGTGACATGAACTTCCAGCATCTCTGGGGGCAAAAGGAGGTGCAGGAATTGCCTTGTAGGCAATAGAAGAGGACATAGACTAGGCACGCTGTCTAGATCAGAAAGATGTGTTTGACAGGCATGGTGCCAACATCAAACAACGCTGCATGACGAAAAGCAGCAATTAAAGAGCAGTTAAGGAGAGAGTTGCTGCGTGAGGCAGTGTGCTCTCCTGTACAGTAGGCTGCGATAACGGATACTCAGTGGTTCAAATGTGGGACATTGTGTACACCAAAGCACAGAATAACCAGTGGAAGACATGCTGTGGAGAGCAGAAAGCATCTTTCTGCTGACTCTTTTGTGATTTAAAAGGGCTTTGCACTTCTCAGGTAATAAAATTCAGTATGGCCTTTAATTGTTAAGGTAGACTGTAATGGACGTACCTAACTGAACCGTTCCAGCCTTGACAGTGGAGACAGAACCATCACGTATTCGGAGATGAAAATAGGACCTTTTTTTCCAGTCACCCAGCTATGCTGCTGTACTGAAAGCAGTGCAGAAAAACAGTGCATAAGTAACTACTGTCTTTCTATTTCATATAAAGCTGCCAGAGGGCTTTTTGCATTTTGTAAAAAGATTTTTCTGTTGTTTGGCTTTTGCTGTTGCCCCTCGTTAAGTGTGTGCTGAGCGTATGCAGTTGCAGTTTTATATGTGTTTTCAGTGCATGTATGTTTGTTCCTGACTGCACATCTTTATTGCTACAGCATTGGAAGGGCGCTAAAATTCTACCAGCAAACCTACTTTTAATTTATTGTTTGACGCTTCCATCAAGTTGTTTCCAGTGGTTTTAAAAAGAAGCAAGTGTTTACATATTTGCCATTTCTGATATTTCAGATCTTTGCTGATTTTAATCTGCTCAGTCTAGTACATAACCGTTTGTGTAAAACAATTCGTTGTCCAAGCATGAATTCAAATTAAGAGATGTACCCTTTCACATGCTGGGGTTTGACAGAAACTGCAACTGGACTTTCTTCAGATGCTGGAGAGAGAACACGTTTCCTTTTGCTCTTTGCTCATTTTCTCCATCTGTCACAGTCATCTGGGTATTTATGTAGAGAATAATTTATATAAAATAAGAATTGTGTTTGAAACAACCTTTCCACCTCACCCTTTGTTTACTGTTTATTTTGTGGGGGGTTTTAGGCTTTAATAGAAAGGCTTTCTGGCTCTTCAGGTCCTTTTGCAATAAATAATTGAAAAAATCACAGTTAATGATGACTTAAACTTTTTCCCCACCGTGCATAAGTTTTATTTGAGGTAGCCCTCAATTCAGAGGCAGTGTTTTATATTTTAGTTTAATAACCTTTCTGTGTGATTTGGACAATTGATTTTCAAATCCTTTAAAATTTTGCCATTTGCCACGTCCCATGTCAGGGAATTCTGCAGCTAGATCTGATTCTGTCTGCAGAGAAAAATCTCAGGTTTTGGCTATTGGGTTCCTGTCTCTTTGAATGCCTAGGAGAGACTTGGAAGAAGCAGTAAACAATTGCTTGATGCTTACTCTTCTCTTGTCATTCATGATTTTATAGACCTTTATCATGTTCTTTCTCACCCATATCTAAGGCTACTCATCTGTTTATTCCTGGTATAGAAACTCTTCTCAAGTTTTGGTCGTCGTTGTAGCACTCTCTTAAAATGTTTCTCACTCTACTATATCCTTTCTGAAAGGAACAGACCAGAAGTGTGTCTAGTTTTCAAACTATGAGTGCACAGTGTGTTTCTGTAGTAGTAGGAAGATTATTTTCTGGGTTTTCTCTATTCTGTTTCTACAAACTCTGAATGTTCGGTTTACTTTCCTGAGTATGACAGAATGCTGAATGAAATATTTTCCTTTGGATTTCAGAGAGCTATGTAAATGATAGTATCCTCTCTCTGCAGCTGCCGACGGAATGGTGTGTAATGAGTTATGCTCAAGTGATGGCTGTTGGGGGCCGGGGCCAGACCAGTGTCTCTCCTGCAAGCACTTCATCAGGGGAAGGACGTGCATAGACTCTTGTAACCTGTATGATGGGTAAGATGATTTTCTTGTACTTCCCAATACTTTCCGACTATATTGTGCAGGACTTTCATAAGTTATTTTGGTTTTACATTAATCAATATCTGGTTCCTTTTCCAATATTACTGATTTTGAGTGAAATATACTGTGGGATAGTTTTTATGTATTTCCAAATCTGAACTTGTGCAGGGTCAGATGTATTTGACTGCTGCATTAGTCCTCAACAGGACAGATCTGTCTCCAAAGGTGGTCAAGGGAGGTTTTCCTCAGCTGTATTGTTGCAAAAGATCCTAATGGCTGTAGGGGAGCAGAGGGAGAACATGGATAAACTAAGCACAGAGGCCTTCACCTTACCTGAATATTACTAGAGCCCTCTAACATGAGCGTGCAGCACATCTTTAAGTGTTTCATGCAAATATTTGAACTGGTTATTGCAACAAGATGGGATCGATCTGCAAAGCTTAGGTGTCCAGTCCGAGCTAGTTACATGGCTTCTCTCTGTGGTTAGTGAGGAGACAAGCGATCTGTTCAGGTGTTACTTCATCTCAGCCTAGAAGAAAGTGGGATGAATTGTGTTGAGAAGGTGCTGAAGATTTTTTTGTGAGGGACAACTGGAAGCTGAAATGAGACCCCTGGTGTGTGTTGGCAAAAATCAACCTGCTGTCACTACTTTCCTCCCCCTTATAAGTGATTAATTAAAAAGAAAATAATAATCACTTGAGTGACAAGTTTCTTGTAGATATATGAAATAAATGAGCAAAAGGATTTGTTTTGATGTTTTATAGATTCAGACCTCAGTATAGAATTGTTGATGAAAAAGTTAGGAGCCTTTTGGAGAATGAGCTTTAGAACAGGAGTGTGTGCAGAGGCTTGACTAAAACAAGGAGAGAAGCACTGTAATCAGTGCTCTTCCTAACCCTTTCCTACCTGATAGTGATGTCTCACATGTAACAAGTGGCTTCCTGAATCTAATCCATGACAGACAATTCCATAGATAAAAATCAAGAAATGAGCTGCTTTGTCCTGCTAAAGGGGTCTTTATTTCTTAAGGAAAGAGAAGAAAAAACACTCCAGCTTTATACTGGTAATCAAGATGTGTACTGCTTCACCTGCCTATGAAAGAGGTTGCTGGTGGGGCCTGGTTTTCAGCTGGTGTAAAGCAGCATAATGTCGTTAACAGAAGTGATCTCAGCTGGCATAGTCTGCTGACCTCAGTGAAGCTGATAATTTCCTCCAGGTGAAAAGCCAGCCATTTTATCTCAGTTTCAGTCTTGCTTTTGCTCTCTCCTAACCAGCCTGCAAAATATTTCTTAGGGAATTTCGGGAATTTGCCAATGGTTCTGTCTGTGTGGAGTGTGATCCTCAGTGTGAAAAGATGGAAGAAAACATGATCACGTGCTATGGACCGGTAAGGACAAAATTTCTTGTGTTATGGGCTAGCTTGTTAAAGTGTCCTAAAGCTCAGGCGTTTTCTGCTTGTAGAATTTAGAGCAGCTATTGAAAATTAATGTTAACAGAAGAAGAAATTACACATCTTGTGCCTGTAGGGAAGGAATTCTGCTCATGTTAAATTGATGTGGGGAATAAACTTCCTGGGATCAGTCTCCTTAAGAAAATGGTTTTAAAAGTAGTGTCCTTTTCTTTCCTGAGTTGCCCTAATGCCTTAGGGGTACAGATAAAGTGTTTAAATGACAGGTAGCATTCAGTTGTGATTTGTGCCCTCTTTTATCACTGTTTTCATTCTTTATGCTCAGTTCTGTCCTGTTCTACTACAACTTCAGCTACCTTCTTCCCCCTCCCCACACGCAAAAACGAATGGGAGTTTATCTCAGTCTCTTAGTGAGCTTAATCAAGATGTTGTTTGGGTATTTTACTTGGGTTAGTCTTTTAGGGTCTTTTGGTAGGGAGTTTTTTTCATGTGTTGTAAATGAATGTGAACTGTGGCTATCATCTTCATACTGTCTAGTGAGTCTTTTGTCAAAGATTATTGCTCTTTTGTGAGCGAGAAGTTGTCTCTTTCTTTTGGTCTTTTGTATATCGGCAAAGTTAAAAGTCCTAAGTATCCTAGGCTATTTGTTGTATTTTAGGCTCTTCATTGTTGAGAAAATTTAGCCTGTAGCTTATTTTCTTATTTCTGCGACTTACCTACCAAACAGAAAAAAGACATCATTTTTGTTGCAGTACTGTTTTCTGCAACAGAGCCATAAAGCAAGAAGCTGAGGGAAATTCGGATTTTGTAGCAAGGCTCATGGTCATAAAACTGACACCAGTGCCTAACCTGAACGCCAGATTGGGTATACACTGGCTTATCATTACAGCCTTAAAATTTTACATTTACGTGGTGTGGGAGCCTTGGTTTATAGTTTGTAACAGTCTAGCCTACATACGTATTAAGGAGACCTTGTAGTTGGTCAGTATTGTTGTGACCAGATACCGCAGAGAGAATGCAACATGGAAAATAATTCTGGAGTGCAGAGGTAGGGGCTTCCACTGAAAGGTGGTTGCAATTGCTTTGCAAATGTGATTCAGTATTGAACAAGGTTGCAGGAAATTTCTGAGAGTTAAAGTCCACATGAATGAAGAACCACCTGCTGTAGGAGATGAGGTTTGAGACCATCTAAGAAGCCTGAAGGTGCACAAGTCCATGGGACCTGATGAGGTGCATCTGCAGGTCCTGAGGGAACTGGTGGATAAAGTTAAACTATTGTCCATCATATTTGAGAAGTTGTGGCAGCCTGGTGAAGTTCCCACCAACTGGAAAAGGGGAAACACAGCCCTCATTTTTAAAAAGGCTCACCTCTGTGCCCGACAGGCAGATCCTCCTGGCGACTATGCTAAGGCATGTGAGAAAAAAGGAGGTGAGGGTGTCCCTGCCCACAGCAGGGGGGTTGGAACGAGATTATCTTTGAGGTCCCTTCCAACCCAAACCATTCTGTGATTCTGTGATTGGTTGCAGCCTATAAAAGATGGAGTCAAACTTTTTACAAGGATGTATAGTGATGAGACAAGGGGCAATGGATTTAAACTGAGAGAGGGTAAATTTCCATTAGCTCTAAGGAAGAAATTCGTCCCTCTGAGGGTGGTGAGGCACTGGAACAGGTTGCCCAGAGAAGTTGTGGCTGCCCCATCTCTGGAAGTGTTCAAGGCCAGGTTGGATGAGGCTTTGGGCAACCTGGTATAGTAGAGGGTTTCTCTGCCCATGGCAGGGGGGTTGGAACTGAATGGTCTTTGAGGTCCCTTCCAACCCAAACCATTCTGTGATTCTATGGAGTCTGTTGTGTTAAGCACACCAGTAATATTGAGAAACCTGTTTAGAAGCTGGAATTTAGGCTTACACTCTACAAAGTAAGTTTATGGTCAGAAGCACCAGGATTTATACATCTGCTGCCCTTTACCAGAGACTGGAACCATTCAGGTAGTTCACTGTTCATTGGGAAGGAAACACTACTACAGTTATTGCTGAGCGTGCTGTCAATCTAGGACCTGCAACTCTAGTGCAGCAGGAAAAGACGGAGTAACTTGAATGCACTGCATTTTTCTTCCACGTTCTCCAGGGACCTGACCACTGCACGAAGTGTTTCCATTTTAAGGATGGTCCAAATTGTGTGGAAAAATGTCCTGATGGCTTACAGGGCGCTAACAGCTTCATTTTCAAATACGCCGATGAGGATCGTGAGTGCCATCCATGCCACCCAAACTGCACCCAAGGGTAAGCACACGTTCTGTGGAGTGAGCCATCTTGTTGACTGTTCATAGCACGTGATGATTTATATAGTTTGGCTTGGCAAAGCACTTGGCCCTCTCCTGAGAGCAGAGTGCGTAGGGCAGTAATGTAACCTGTCATTTTTCAGGTCTCATGACATTCAGGTTCCACTCTTGAATGTCCAGCAGCTTATCAGGGAAAAAAAGCTTACACCCCTTTTGAAAACCATAGAGAAGAACTTATCGCAGAGCTCTGAGCTTTCCTGCTGGCTAGCACTGGTTTGTAAATGCTGCCATTGACACTCGTGTAAGTGTAGGCCTGTAAAATGACTTTATTTTTGGTATTTACTCGTTGACAGAATTTTCACCTCTGTTCTTTGGTGTTGGTGAACTAACCCAGCAGTATGACTGTGAGACAGAAGTGGTACTGCTCTCTTTTTCATGTGGGGATTGATGCAAAGGGTTTGTTCGAAGCCAGGCTCTTCATAGGAATCTGAGCTTCAATTTCTCAAGTCCCAGGTGCCCAAAATCAGTTTTTGCATTTGGAACTATACAGCCCATGTATCTGAGCCAGAATTAGCAGTCTGTGCAACAAAATCATAGTAGTCACATACGCAACTCTTGTTTTGCATGGGCTGCGTAAGTTATAAATGTCTTTTTGATGATATGGTTGGTGGTGTCCAACATACAAAGAAAGAGAGCTGGGGAAAAAAGAGAAGACTTCAGCTGGTGAAGTAATCTTTGACAAGAGGCTCTTATTGTTTAGCAGCTAAAATTAAACTAGTAAATTACTCAATGTAATCTTGATGTCAACAGCTGTTGCCATTCAAAATGAGACCTTTTGCTGGTTTTGCAAATCTAATTACAATAGAGCCATTAGGGAAATAGAAGTGAGATCACAAAGACACAGGCAGGATCTGTTACAGATTTGTCTTCCCCTCAGACCCTTTAAATCAGTTACGCAGTAAGAAAACTGCTGCTACTGTGGAAGCAGAGTGTAAGAAGAAACAATATGAAAAGATGAGCTCACTTTAGGAGCTCTGGTCCTGGCTTTAACAGATGGTGGAAGCGCCAGTTCTGATGGAATCTGACAAGCCCAGCTAGGGCGGATAGATTTACCGCCCCTCCTGCGTTAGAAGTGCCTTGCAGCTCTGCTGGCATCTCAGAGGACCAGATGTGACACTTCTTCCTGTTCCCTCCTCTTTTTCGGGGAGACCTATCTGATCTAACTATTAACTGATCTTCACAGCATAACTCTGTTTCTCCCAGACCAGAAAGGGAGCAGAATGTTTTCCATGCCTTTACACTTCTTCATATGCATCCGTATTTTCTAAGTGGTTGTTTATCTCCCTGGATAGAACAGGATTAAGAAGGGAGGCTTTTATGCCTTGCGATGAAAATCTGACATCCTAGTTCATAAACAAATAGGAAGGACATTAGGCAGCTGTAACTGAACATGCCAGTATTCATTGGCAACCCTTGATGACACAGGGTTCCTTTATGCTGAGTTACGTTGTCGTTTAATCCTTGAACTTTTGGGTTTCCCTTCTTTTGTTTCTGCAGCTGATCAGGTGAAAGAATATCTCATTTAGCATCAGGTGCCAATCCCCAGAGAAATGATGGTGTACCACTAGTAAAAGGGCCAAAGGTTTCACTGGGTTACACATGGTTATCTTCCAGATGAGGAGTCATCCCTTCACCATGAGTCTAAAATTATTCTTCACAGAAATCCTCATCCTCTTATTAACGGGTTAACATGTCTATTCTTAGATATTTTGTTACCCCTTATAAGAACAACACCCCACCACCTCCCAAATCTGGGTAAGCATGTGTATTCTTTTCTAGTGTTCCTAAAGACTTTCTGGCATGTGATTATGTTAATGAAACTGTTAATGACTGCCCCAGATGTTTGGGGTTTGAGTTGTCCATCTTCTTGCCAACATTTTCAGGGGCTGAATATGCCCACAGAGAGAAGGGAAATCAGTTGCTCTATTCTTTTCTCCTTCAATACTGAATTCTCTAGTTTCATACCCTTCCTTTGGAAATTAATATTTAATTTCCACTCCATCAGGATTCCTCAGTGAAATAGGTTGTAGAAGGAACACCTCTTGATATTTGGCTCACAACTGAATGGTATGGAGAAACTGTAATTTTACTTCAGCTAGCATGTCTGTTCTCCCCTCTGAAATAAAACCACTGCCTTTGCAGTACAGCTTGGATACTCACCAAAGAGTGTTGAGCTGCTGGAGAGTAGTGCTCCCAGTGTAGTATTACCACATTCCTTCTGTGTGGCTCTCTGAATCAGGGAGCTTGCTAGAATGATTGGGTTGTTAGCTCTCATACGCTGTTTCTAGTCTTGCCCACCTGTTGCTGTCACCAAGGAAGATATGTCTCACCTCTGTTTCATGTAACCATTTTGCCACAATTTTGTCATGGCACGTGCAGGTGATTGCTTTATATCCTAGAGTGAGACATTTGATAACACCATTCTCCTCCCTTATTCAGTATAATGACTGCTTCTGTTAATAGGTGTGTAATTATCCAGCCCTGTTAATGGTCTTACATTGACTAAGAGAACTATCAAGGAGTGACTTTCTTGGATGCAGTAACTGTGCTCTTGGCCTTGCATCCCCATGATAACCGTCAGCTCCTTGAAGCCAGTTTGGAGCAGATCTGAGGCACGTGGAACAGCTATCCCGTTGAATTTTCAAGAGAGTCAGAAAGCATTTGGCACCTGTTCTTACAGAGCTAGCCAAAATGGAACACTTTTGGAGAAAAAAAATACTAATTATATAATTGCATTTGACAGTCTGCTTCCTTGCTGGGCAAGACGCAAACGGGAGGTCTCACTGTACGCCTCCCCTCATCATAGGGAGGCATTTTCTCACACCACATTTTGAAGGAAGCATATTACTTTTCACCAAAACTTTATTATCCTTCTAAGCCAAGACCAGAGAAGTCATGGGAGCCCTATCAACACGTGTGGACCAGAAGGGATTTGAAGGCAGAAGCACTGTCTTGCCCCTAAAGTTTATGTGTATTTTTAGGAAGGCATTATGAATTCCAGGTGAAACAATAGTACAATTTCAATGACAGCAGACTCTGAATAAGAAACTGTTATTATTTTTGTTGATGCAAAATTTCCTCCTGCCCCAGTTCAACTTTCTTACTGTCACCATCAATATGCACTTCCTGTTAACTAATTAACCTCCTTGTTTTGAGTTTTCTGGCTTTACCATAGCAATATTTGGATGACCAGCTCATCACTGCAACTAAGGTTTTCTCCTGTCCAGAGCTAATCCATTTATGCCATTGTTTAATCAGTTTTGTTTGTTTTCAATGACAAAGATTTTTGAGAGTTCATCTAACTAGAAACAGCTTCACTACTCCACATGTGTGAACAGTTAAGACCCCACCTTTCAATCTTAAGGAGAATTGATGGATGACCATATTTGTGACAGAGGTGGGAAAAAGGGTTGTTTCAGGGGGAAAAAAAAAAAATTACTCCAGTTTTCAAAACTGTTTTAACTCATCGTTTTATTTCGGAGGATGATTATCTGTAAAGCTGGGATGAGCTCCAAGTGTAATTTTCTGTATAAGCTGAGTTGGACTGTTGTAAGGTACTGAATAGATCATTAATAAATTGGCATGTATCAGTTAACCAGTTCATCTTACAGAGCAAACTTGGAAATGAAAACATTATCCAGACTCCAAGCAGAAGAAGGAGCCCTGGGGGTGAATGGAGTATCAGTGTGATGTATGATCGTGTCCTGCCTGTACTTAGATGTGTCAAAAAGCCTGAAACCAAGGAAGTTACTTCCAGAGGAGAAATAACTGATGACTTGGTGGTGCAAATCAGCTTGCTAATAGATACTGCTGTTACTCACACCGTTTTGTACTTCAGTGCGTGTTACCAGGACAGCCGGCCAGAGAGTAGGAAGCTGTTCAACATGACTAGGAGTAATGGAAATTGCACCTGGACAGTTTTCTGTTTGGGGCTGGGAAATCCACTGAAGAAGATTACAGGTTTAAATAAAAATCAATGGTCTTTCAGCTTGGAGTGGATGAGGTCCAAACAGCTCTCTCTTCTTGGATTCAAGTCCTATTCTCCAGAAGTCTGAGAGAATAAATGTACAGATGTGAAATGCCTCCAAGACAATAGGCTCTTAATGTTAGCCTGCCAGTTATCTGAACCAGTAATGGGCTCTCAAACCTCTAATTTGAAGAGGGCCTTCTTTTTATTTATAGCAAGAGTATGAGCTTAGCTTCTCTTGACATGCTAGGAAACAGAAGATCTGAACAACTTTTTTTCAGCCTCCCTTCATTACCGAACTGGTTTTCTGCAAATTGCTGAGAATGCCATGAAAGGAAGAAATGTTGGATATGTTTGAGACTGGTAAGAATTCAGACAGTCCTGAGTGCTGAAGTCCAGGAAGGCTGACATTTCAAAAAACACCCATCAAGAATGCTCTCTCAAGTTTTTGAGCTGCATTTAAATCTACCCTTTCTACTTTATGCATTATGTGGCCACCTGGGATTTTAATGAATCCTTTTTATGTCTGCATATTTGCTGAAGGAAACAATTCTTGAGGAAGTCCTTGCAATTCGTGTTTGTATGTAAAAATAAAAAGTCAAGTAAACAAACAAGAGGTAAGGTTCACTATCACTCTGCTCTCCCTGATGGACAGGTAAGGAGCAATTGAATTCATGGAATTTATTTTATAATGGCAAAGTGATAGCTAATTTAAATGCAGCAAAAGTTGATGAGTGGCAAGTGATGGTGAAGTGGAAAGAAGATCTCATGGGAGCGCGTTTGAACTCTTTCAGATTTTTGACATGCATGCCCCTCTATCAAGGCCAAACTGAAAGCAGGAGACTTCAAAAGGAGTTAGGAATCATACCTTAAATTTAAAATGCCTCAACAGAAGTGAGTTTCAGTCTACTGATGTGTCAGATCACCTACTCCTGTAGTAGACGTACAGCCAAAGAACCTGTTAATAAAATGATTCTGAGATCTTGTTAACAAGTTGAAATAAGTGATTTGGTTTCCTGAAAATGCTGAGCGCTAGATACTCCCCGTGGCTACGGAGGGACTCGCTGGACATTCAGCACTAAATGGTGTCAGGTTGTCTTAACCTCTACAAGCTTGACTTCATTATCTGTCTCTGAGAATCTTGACCACTGTGTAACTGTGTAATTGACTTGCTCTTGGAATGCAGAGGACCTAGGACACCACTTCACCTATTGCCGTTCAGGAGGGCAAGGAAAATCCAGGCATATCCATGTTTTGCAATGAGACTCTTCCCCCATGGTTGTCCTTTAGTATGGCTGCATAAAGCGATTCTCTGCATTCCCATTGCCTTTGGTGAGCACCTGCTGATTTTGCAGGTAGAGGACTTTTGGGAGCATCTATGGAAAGCAGAATAAAATGCCTGAATCAGCAAACACCGTTTCACTCCGGTTTTTGTGATTGGAAGCTCATCCTTGAGCTACCCTGCTAAAAGCATAGTCAGCTTCCAAAATATTTCTGCAGTTGCCCTAGCTAGGAACTTCGAACAGAATGAACAATTGCATCAATTACAGAAAGAAAAAAAGTTTTGTATTTTGCTCCTGGAGTTCTCGTCTTGCAAATGAACAGCTTTTGTGTAGTAATCACTGGTTTGATGATTCAGACAACATCCAGAAAAAGCAGCTCTATTGTCAGGACTCCCACGTTAGCAGGTGAAACCTGCCTTAAGTGTTGTTTGAGCCAAGATATGTCCGACCTTGGAATGCTGTTTATGTTGCTATTATTGTTCCCCTTGCAAGCTTGTTTTTATCACAAGCTATAATTTTGTGGTGATTTGGGTCTCTCTTGAGATTTATAATTAAGAATGTGCCACAAAGAAGGGACTCCTGCTTCTTGGATCTGTTAATAACAGATTTCTCTCTTTCTCTCCCTATTTTCAATTTGGATTTGCTGCAGGTGCGTAGGGCCACGTCTTGAGGACTGCATCGGCCTGATGGATAGGTACTTGCTGAGTGATCGTTCCCTGTGTGTCTTCCATCCTCCATGTGTGGACAAGGGCGCATGCGTGTGCATGTCCTTGTGAATGGCAAATGACGTCTTTTGTTCTGTAATTGCCTGCAGGTGTAGAGGTCCCGCTAGTCATGACTGCATTTACTATCCATGGACACGACAGTCCACTTTACCACAACATGCTAGGTAACATCCACCACTTTTCCATTTTTGTACACAAGGTCCTCCTGTGGTGACCATAGGAACGTTATACTATCCAGTTTGTTCAGAAACGCGAGTTATGGGGAGAATGTAACTGGTCCTTAAGTCATACACCTCTGAACTTCCAAATTTTACTTTTCCATTTGAAACCCAGTTAAATATCTTACTCATTTAGGCTGATTAGAAAATGTTGTTTATCTTTATTTTTGGGTTAAATCAATAAGGATTCAGTTCTGAAATTTTCTACAGAACTACGTGTTTCTTGATGAAATGTCACTGGAACTAAACATGGTGAAAACTCTAGTTAAATTGAAGTTTACTCTTTTATCATTTATTGGGTTTGGGTTTTTTTGTTAAGAACAGAGCAAATGAAGCTTTTTCTTCCATACTTCTCTGGAAAAAAGCATTTCAGCAAAATTGAATTTCTTCCTTAATTCACATAACACTATTATTTGATTTTTTTTTTTTCATTTTCTGTTTAAAAAAAACTTGTGACCTTTCAGCAATTCTATTTTTCAGTGATGATGATCGAAACAAATTAATGTAGGAAGACTCCCAAAACATTCTGGTTATACTCAGCATTCTTTTTCGTGAAAGCCCTTCATTGCCATTGAGTTTGTTTATTTTTAAATTCAAACTGGTTAGTATGACTTCCACGCTTTGGGATTACTGTCATGTGTTAAGATTAGATGAAAAATATTTCAGTCAACTTCACCTCATTAAGAATTTTACTTTTTTTTTTTCTTGTCTTTATAAAAGGTTTTTAGGTTGCCTTTCCTTCCTAGTTGTATACCTAATGTGAATATTCCTGTTTCTAGGTGTTGAGGGAGAAGGTGTTTAGACATGAAAAATAGCACTCTGTGAGGGCTACCAAATGGTATACTTGTTTAATTAAATCAGTATCAGTTCTGACTTAGTTCATGTACCAATGAATAAGCAATGGAAGAAGACTGAAATTTTCAATATTTAAGTTTTTTTAATGTTTCTGATCTGGGGTATCCAGTTTGAGAGACTTCTGAGAGGGGACTCATTTTCAGATGTACTTGTCCAAACTGCGTTGTCCAAAACAAGCAGTTAGTTTTAAAGGTCTCCATTTTGTCAGCTTCACTGAAAGCACAAATATAGAAAATGTGTTATTATTTGCATAAGTTTAAGGGGCTTACTAAGCTACAAAGGATGAAGGCCATGCCAAAGTTCTTTGCTTTAGTAACTAATTTCAAAATAATAGATATTTCATCAATTGGATTTTTAGTCAGTTTTTGAAGGAACATTAAGGGGTTTCTACTAGGAAGACAAGTTTTTGGCTGCAGTGTAACTCTTACAGTGTTATGGGCTGCTCACTCTAGCTTGTTCTGTTAGCCTAAAAGGCAGTCAGACCTTGTTCACTGCTTAACTCGAGCGGTATAAATCCAAAACTTACCATTCTAGTGAAGATATTCAGGTAGCAGTAAAGTCTCTGGAGGTACTGCCGAACACCCGCTGAATTTGATGGAAAGACTCCTGTTAATCACAGCAAACGTTAGCCTGGGCCCTGTGTTTAAAGGTGGGATTAAAGGAGTGGAACCTACAACACTGAAGAAAGTGTTCTTCAGTAAGGTGTCAAGCTTAAGCCATGTGTTAGCAGACAGTGCAAAAACAAGTTTTGGGTTTTATGTTGTGTAAATTCTAAGTTTTGTTTCCTTGAATCTGCTGTCAAGGTAGTAAAGCAAATTATCACAGGGAGTGGGAATAGAAGCAATTGTTTTACTCTGCTGAAGTGAATAATTTCCTGCTCCAATTCAGTCTGAGGGGAGGACCCTCAGGTGTTTGCTTTGGATCTGATGGATTTTTTTTTCTTTTGTTTCAACTTTGCTGAATTTATTTTAGGAAAATTGCTGCACTGTGCTTAAATATCAGTATGTATGTATTCTTTCACTTTCAAGCCAAAGAAAGAAATTTCATACCTTTATATTTATTAGATCAGTGAAGTTGTGCATTGTGGTTTTTTGGTGAAAATAGTTCATTTTGTTTGCACTAAAAATGGGCAAAACTGCACTGGCAAAAGTGATACTTTTTATTGCGGTAGGGTTGTAAATCAAAAATGGAGGTGCGCCACTTTAGGTAGAACCTTTTTCGTGACCCTTAAGCAGTTGCGTGCCCTCCCTAGACTTACATACCTTAAAATAATTAATAAACAGTTTTACCCTTATCCAAAGACTTGAATTTCTGCCGTTGATGTGAATTAGGAGTGATTCGAAGGGCAGGGTTCAGGCAGCTGAAAGTGAGAGCAGGGCTCTAACCACAAACGAGATATTTCTCATCTTTGCCTATTTCCATTTTCCTACCAGTGTTGCTTTGCTTTCCAGTTTCGCAGTTTGCAAATTGATTTTGCCATGATCCATTGACTTGAGCGCTTTTGTAAGCGTCTGGTAGAATAGCAAAAGAGCTCTTACTGTTGTGTTTAATAAAGATGAATCAGATGTGCATCGCATGGCTTGTTTTCCAGATGGCTGGTGAAGCTTCAGGTTTTCTGCTTATGTTTGGTCCCTTTATATTTGTGGAAAAAATCCTTCCTTTTGGTATTGCATGTCTTTCTGCATAGGTGCTTGGTTTTTTAAAAACCTTTAGCATTGCATGTCTTTCTGCGTAGGAGTTTGGTTTGTAAAAAAACCTTCAGCTTCAATAGAGTTCTGTCCAAACGAATGCAAGAAACACTTTTCTTTTCCTGTTGGCAGCTCGGTGCCAGGTACGAGGACTGTTATAGCCCTTTTCCTCTAGACTACTTGACGGTTTTGGTTTTTTTTTTTTTTCAAATGACTATTAGGTAACTTGCTGGATCTCGTGCCTTTTTACTCTGTGAGGACCCGTGTTTATTTTCGATGTGTTCAGTTCATCCTCGCAAAGGCTTTCACTGTGTTCTTAACCACCAGGAAAAGTTCAAACTCTAAAGGAGTTGGAAGTCGTGGGAGAAATGAGTGCCGCTTCTGCTTGTGGTGACTTGCAAATTCTGGTTATTGTCACTGCAGCTCTTGATTTACTTAGTTGAACTCATGGCAGAGAAAGCCTTTTCTCACATTTGTGACATACTCTGTATTTATACCATGTTTAATTTGTAGCGCCCCTGTCGCAATGTTGTCTGATTGTGATTGGTGTGATTCACTGAGCCAGTTTGCTGAGCAGGTTTTCGGGCTGACCTCTTCGGGCTGCTCAGATACACAGCAGCCTGAAGGAACAGGACAGGCCAGCAGAGAATTCCCCATGCAAGGTGGAGTCCTTAGCTGGCTCGTAATTAACATCACTGCTTCTTTATCTGCCTGCCTGCCTTCTTTGTTCCCTGTTGTGCTGAGAAGCTCGGCCCGGGGAACAGAGAGGAGACCAGAGCCTCATGTTCCAGCTGTTCTCAGCCACTTGTAGCTCTTCCTGTTGCTCCCTGCCTGGGGGGGTGTAGGTGCTAAATTATTACTGTAAGGTTTTGGTGTTTGGGTTCCCTCTTCTGTAGTAACCTTTCCTAGAATTCACCAAAGCAAAGATGGAAAGCAGATGGAGGCTGGAATTTCCCAGGGTGCCCAAAGGAGTTAGCCATCCTACTCCTTACTAGAATGATACTCCTTTCAGTACCTTCTGACAACTGTAGTTGGTGGTTTCTTTCAGTGAATAGCATACTCGTTAGCTCTGGAACAAAAAGCAAAGAGAAGTATGCCTGCTTCAAAAATCTGGGTAACTATTGTCTAAAATGAAGATTGAGGAAAGGAAAAATAATGCTCTGCCGTTCATTAAAAAAATTCCTGTAGGCAGTCATGAAAGGCTGATTCTTCTACGCTACCCTGCTCCCAAGTCCACCAGGAAAGTTTGGCTAACTCAGTTCTTGGAGCTAGGCTGTGGACAAAGTTCTTACTTAAAGTATGAATTTTAGATGTGTGCATCCTTGCTGTGATTCATTCAGCTTAATACTAAGAGAGAAGAGATCATCAGAGGAGTGCAGTTTCTGTTTTCTGGAGCGTGAGAGATGGCAAATCTGAAGATGTCATCAGGAGCATGTGGTGGATATGATAGGAAAGAAACAGCACCTTGATGTTATTGGTCTGAGTAGACTGATGTGCCTCTCTATTTATGCCCTAGGAAAATTTCATTCACATTTCCCTTTTAACTAACAGAAACTAATTAGCCAGGACCACCGTTGCGAAGTGGTTACATGAAATGATGTGTAGATGTTAACTCAAATTACAACCCTAATGCTAGCTTTATATCAACAAAGGACGTCCTCTCAACAAATCATCGCTTCCGAAACAAAAAAGCTGGGTTTATGTACTGCGTGTGTGTACAAGAGCTAATTAACAGTAAACCCTGTGTAATGCAGGCAAATCCTTTCGTAGCTGTTTTGTACCCCCGCACAGTGTGACTTCAATAGAATTTCACAGCAGTTCTGCGCAGACGATGGGGAAGGGAAACCACCTCTAATAAACTGCTAATGTTCATGGCTTTTATAGCGCGCCGTTCCATTGCTCGGAGGAAAGTGTTCCATATGCTCTGTGTTTTTATAGAATAATTATAGTCGTTCTGGAGGGGAAGAGGAAGAGAATCTCTGTATGAAATAAGAGGAAAAATAGGATCTGTGAGAACGGACTAAGCTACGTTACTTGATTGGTAAAAGATGCTCCTTTTGAGAGACTTCTAATATGGAGCTTTCCGATGCTGTATTGGAACAGAGTGGTCGCAGAAACATTTATTTTCAAGAATCAAGATTAGAAAAGCGGGAAGTTTCGTGCCTTGGTACTGTGGGTTGGATAGAGCTTATAGATCTGTCCAGAACAGACCGATAGAGAAATCCCTGTTCTGTGTGAGAACTTGCTGCTACTGAACTGGTTTTTCAGACCTTTGCTGTGGGCACTTGTCTTATCACAACATTTGGCTGCCTGGAGCTTTCGGAGGAATACGTTTTGAGTACCCCTGTTGACATGCATGGAAGTCGCTGCAGTGATTTCTTGAGCTCCCCTACTTTTTACCAC